CAAAGGGCTGGAGAGAAATAAGATTTTGCTGGGTCTACTCAGAAGTCCTGACTGGAGAAATATGCTCAGCGTGCATTTATGAAGAGGAAATTCCAAAGGTGATTGGAGTATGGAAAGAATCCGAAAATGAAGTCTCCTAAACTTTGTTGATATCGATGATAGTCGAATGGACAACTCATTGATACTCACAAATTAGTCAGTTCTTTTGTTTCGATGCGGAACTGTTGAAGTTAATAATCACATTGAAATATATCAGCCACATAGTATGGACAGGCAGATGAGGGAAGTAAAAAACGAAAAGGTCCCGGCCTAACTTAACTATCCAAAAAGGGGAATACAAGGCTAAGAATGAGTGATTTAGGTATGTCTCACTCTCATTTATCGGTTCAGCTCTGGCTTTCTCTATCCAGTCATTGATTAGCAGCATCAAATGTGGGGCTACGTAATAAGTCAGGGAGAGATTTCTGAACAAGGGGATTGATTACCCTAGAATATACTAAATGAACTCACTAATTAAGATTCTAATGTTTCTTCATCTAACAAATAAGTATTTAACTCCTCAATTAGCTTGTCGTTTGTTAGAATTTGAAATTAAAAAATTAAAAAATAATTTTCAGGCATGTACCCGTATTACTATCGTTAAAGTTTTATTCATCTTTATTTGTAATGTGCAAAAGAGTTATTGATGTATAAATTTCAAAAATGTAATGAAACTCTGATTGAGAACGTTTTACATTGACGAAATCAATCCACTGAATCGAAGTATAACAAGATTATAAACTTTTATAAAGTTTTTTTGTAGAAATATAGTATAAAAGAAAATTTTGGAGAATATGGAGAAAAATTAAAGGAAATATTGTTGTTTTGTTGTTTTCTATTGTGTGTTCAGTTGTACAAAGAAAAGTCTTTTTATAGGCTTAGGTGACTATTCTCAACAGATACAATTGTATCTATTTTAAACAATTACAACTTTTGATCTTTTTCAACAAATTCTTTATTTTTTTTATTTTCAACAAACATGATGCTTCCTTTATTTTTTAATTTTCAATAAACATGACTTTTCCTTTTATTGTAACATGGGATTGCATCCCATATTTATTTGAAAATGTCCAACAATCTTCTGTTATTTTCAAATTAATCCAAATTTTCGATAATTTTGGAAATCAATTATATAATTGAAGGTGTCTTCCGATTGAACCTTCACTCAGTGAAAACATGTTAAAGTTAACTGAAATTGTATTACAAACTATGTTTTAAATCAATTATTTCATTTGGTTAACCAAACACATCTCATATAATGATTTCAACACCAATAATGCACAGCATTCTGTAACACTTTTATAACTATGTGTCTACATCCACTTTTCATAAGTACTGTTAGAACCAAGCACTTGAGTTCTTAATAGTGGTCACACTTTACACTCACATAAGTACATCCTATCAAGAATGCCCCGTAACTAAAGCATTCCAAAAATTTATGTTATGGGTCTATTAAGAGTATGTAACTCATCTTTTCCTTACCATTACAAGTACCCAGCATTTTACTTGGGATAGAATATAACATATCATATTATAATGCCAGCAACCACATACAGATGGTGTACTTTATCTCATTGAACTAAAGACTTAACATTATACTAAGCGTTGAGTGGAGTTTTCAATTTAGGTGACTTTCAATTTATGAGTTTGAGCCCCATTCCCTTTGAGGTCTTATTCATAAAATCTCTAACAAGACTTTTTGTTAAAAGATAGACCAAGTGTTTACTAGACCTCATAAATGTTACAGTGATCAATCCATCAAAAATTAATTGTTAGACATAGCTATGTTTTAATCCAATATGTCTAGACTTTTCATTATACACTTAACTAGATACTTTTGCTAGAGTTGTTTTACTATCACAATGGATAGAAATTAGAGAGATTAGTTTAGACAACAAATATACACCATACAATATATTTCTTAGCTATTCAACTTCTTTAGTGGTAGCAATCAATACAATAAATTCCACTGTCATGGTAGAATCCATTATACACGTTTGTTCTTGGACTAGCAAGAAATGGCACCCCACCAAACATGAAGATCCATCCACTTGTGGAAGCATGATCTTCTAAACTTGTAATCTAACTAACATCCGAATATCCTTTTAGCACTGATAGATATCCTATTACAGAAAAGTCCATAATTGATTGTTTTTTTAAGTTCCTTATACATTGTTCCTTAGTACATTAAGCAACTAATTACTCTTCAATATTATAATTGATCAATAACCCTACCAGTATTAGGTACTAATTTAATTTGAGGATTCATAGGTGTAAATGCTGGTAAATAATTACTAAGATTAAACTTTTTAAGCACCTTTTCAATGTAATGCGATTGTAACAAAGTTATGTCATTTTTGTTTTAAAATATTTTAATTCCTAAGATGACATTTGTTACACCTATATATTTTATTGTAAAGTTATTTGACAAACTTTTTTATCTCCTCAACTTGTTCCAAATTTATGCAAAAAATTAACATGTCATCTAAATATAAGCAAATTATAATACTTTTATCATTTTGGAATATGCTATATATACACTTATCATATTCTTTTATGTTGTGGCCATTGTTTAAAACAATTTCATCAAATTTTCGATGCCATTATTTTGATGCTTGTTGAAGTTCGTACAATGTTTTGATAAGCTTACAAACCTTATGCTCTTATCACAAAACAATAAACCTTTTGGTTTTTTTTCTCTTTAAATCCCAAGAGCATAATTTTTTGTTTTAGAATCAGTTCAATAAATGATCACAAAGCTACTATTGTATTAGGCCTCCAAATTAATGTCCCATGGACATATGACTCTTTACAATTTTTTTTCTTCATTTTGGAGTGATTCCTTTACAATAAGATCACAGATCTCAAATATTATATCAGATCATTCCAATAGTAATCACTTATCTCACCCATCTTTTCATTTTTTTCTTTCTTTGGAAATGTATATAATAAATTATCATTAAAGATCATATTTTGAAAATATTCAACTCAGTGTATGTCTAGCTTTCTACGCCCACGACAAAGAGAATTTTTCTAGTTCTCAAATCACTATTAAGCATAAATTAGAATAGCAGGAATGAAAAACTAAAAGGCTTTTACTTGTTAACAAGCAAAGCACAAGTTGCATGGAAATTATCCCAAGTTAAAACTACTTATGATAGAAGCGAACAATCCTATTCACATAAAGCTTTCCTTTTTTTTAATGCTTAGTCATCTGTAAAGAAAAATCATAAGATCTTGATTGTTTCCTCTTGAGAAATTATTTGTATATCTGACGTGACCAAATGCTGTACGTAACAATAATACTAAATGTTCATAACAAAAATACTAAATGTTCAATTTTCATTACTTCTTTTCAAAAATAAAATCAAATAAATAGTGACTTGTTCCATAGAGAATACCCTTGTTGGAGTCTCACAATTTCAGTCCTTACTAAAAAGGAATAAGGATGATGGCAATAGTTACCATGGCAAAGGCCTAAAACTCCAAAACTAAGTATATATATTAAACGGCAAAAATTGAGAAGAGAAACAATAAATTTCGTCAGAATTATGTTTCCTCACTTTTTCCTGTTACACATTACCCAATTTAGATAAAAACACTGATTTATTTATTTATTTTTCCTTTTTGCTACTTAACAACTTTTGCGTACTAAGATTTTTCTATGAAATTTCTTTGATCATAAACCATTAGAAATTCTTGAGATGTCTAATAACTAATCTTTCTAGTCTTAGGACAATTCGTGCAAATCAAATCAATAAAAAAAAAACTTATCTAGGAATCTGACGAAAAATCATTTTACTATTTTCTTTGTCAACATCAACCGATTCAATTTCACAAAAAACAAAGCTAATTCTCTTAATATTCCACTTGCAGCAGTCATTATTAAAATAAAATAAAATCTCAAGATTGTTAGAACCCAAGATTAAAAAATCAAGAATTGACTTCAAGGCGTGTATCAATGCCATCATTCTTAAGGTTTTATTTGTCCTCACTTGTAGCATACAAAAGAGTTACCAACGCATAAACTTTAAAGATATAATAAAGTTTAGTGATTGACGGTATTTTATACTGACAAAATCAATTCACTAAGTACTCACTAGAGTATGACAAAATTATTAAACTTTTATAAAGTTTTTCTACAATAGAATGGTATAAAAGAAAACTTTGGAGAATATTGGAAAAGAATGAAGTATTGTTGTTTTGTGATTTTCTGTGTGTTCTTTAAAAGAAAGTTCTTTTTATAGGTTTAGATACTTATTCCCAACAGGTACAATTGTGTCTATTTCAAACCGTCACAATTATTGATTTTTATCAACAAACGTAATTTTTTTTTATTTTTTTATTTTCAACAAACATGACTTTTTTTTATTTTTTAATTTTTAATAGACATGATTTTTTCTTTTATTATAACATGAGATTGTGTCCCATATTTATATATGAAAATGTTGAACAGAAATTAGGATTAAGTCCCCTCATGTTTCTAAGGAAGCTGAAGCAACACTGCTTCTAAAATAAACAAAGATTAGCAGTTGTCCTATAGGGACAAGGGCTTCATAAAAAAATTATTAGTATTAGTAATGCATAAAGGTATGACGGCCCAGTGTTTATCATCAATGACAGTACACTGCAAGGCGGCGATGTTGATCTTATCTTGCATTGCAAACCAGCCAGAAAAAAAGGGTAAATTAAAGGCAAAATCTTTGATTATCCAAAAGGAGTTCTCTCTATTTGTTTGACGCTTGGCTTATCCCTGAGAGGTGCTTATCAATAACAGAGAAACTGGCCAGTTTAAAACAAGGTATCCGATGAGGGGCATTCAACTTTACGTCAAAGAATTGGTTTAATTTAAAGTTTTTCCTAAACTTTTTATTATTAACTGTCGCTGGCCGGTGTGGTTATCCACATCCACTTATTCTCCATGACGCACGAATGGTCATGCCTAACAGTGACGTATTCTTGACTTATCCGTCTGAGAAGTTGCGAACCTTACCAGTCTCCGTTATAGGCTGAAAGGAGATTAATACTCTAAAAACTTACAATAAGCGAAAAAAGATATTGCTTGTGGCTGTTTCACATCTTATTGGGAATAGCTTCGTCAGAATGATCTCAGCGCCAAAATCCACAGGGAAAACGATCTTTCCCTGTCAGATGACAATTTACAGTTGAGCGATTGATTAATAATTCCTCGTCCACTTCGACATAAAGTTGAGAGGAAGTCTATAAATATTGAAATCCTCTCAACTTTCCATGCCAAAGCACAAGGTTTTCATTGAATCGCCTTAACTACAATGTCGTTCTCTAGGTGTCTGGTATGTCTTACTTTGCTCTTGCTTTTGTCCGCAGGCTCACAGAGTCGCCCCTTGATAGAGAAGCGGAATCTAAACAATTCTGTCGAGGACTTGAGACAGTACCTGGACGAAGAAGCTAAGAAAATCCAGAATGGACAGGTTGAGAGAACAAGTCCTGGGGGACCTGACCCACAACATCACTTCATAAATAACTAGTTTAAAACTTTGTAGTAGGAGGTGGTTTCTTCTGTAACGAGTAAAACAGGATTGGTATATATCTCCTTCTTCATGTGGATTTTATTTCTTGTTACCTTTCCCTCTTTCTCTCTTTTCTTTCTTGAATATGGAGAAAACAACATCAATATGTGGGTTTCACTTGGAAATGGAGGAAATGTCAAATACCTGTTAGATATGAAAAATCCTCTTCTCGTAGGGCCTGGTGGGTTGACATATGCTTGTACTACCTTTAATAGATTAAATGAATGTTTCACTTTTTAATCTTTATTTTCTCAGCTATTCTAAACTTATTTGCATATAATGAATGCTTCCACAAGTTAATCAATTTCAACACGTCAAACTCACATTCTCTGCAAATTAGTTTAGAATAGCTGAGAACATTGAAACTTTCATTTAATCTATTAAAGATAGTAAAAGCATATGTAAACCTACAAGGTCCTACGAGGAGAGGAATTTTCATATCTAACAGGTATTTGACATTTCCCTCCATTTTCTTGTTTCTTGCAAGCAAGAGATTTTTAATTTATGTTGGGATCGACTGCTTCTCTGTTTTGAGGGTTTGAACTCATTTTGCTTTGATGGATTAGCTTAGGTTCTTAATTTGCAAAGTGTTGATTCTGATCTTAGCCCGAATATTTTTGTATAGAGGCTTGCTTTTCTCCGTCTTGTGCTGCCAATTGCTTTTTGAGCTGCCTTCTCTATCTTTTGTAAGTGTACAGGGCTACGTTTCCACCAAAGCCAATTTCCTTATGTCAAGAGGAGTCTTTTACCATTTTGGTTCAAGACTTGTTATGGCATTTTAGCTTTTGGTTCAATAATAAAAACACTTTTCAGAAAAAAAGGAAAAACTTGTGGAAGCAAAAGCAGAAGGAAAAATAACAAATGAAATACAACTCAGAATATTTCTCTATATAGCTTGCACAGCAAAATTATTCATTCTACAGAGCTAATGTGGCATTAAAAATAAGAATAAGCAATCCAACCCTATCAACAGTTCAAAAAGCTAACGAAAAGGCTAGGCTGCAGCAATCATTTGAGTTCGAACTCCCATGTTCTGAATCTTCTGATTCTTGTGCAGTATTATTGACTGTATCCATCAGTAGCATTTAAGGGCAGTAATACATTTCAAAATGGAATATGGATGCACAGGGCTATATTTCCCGTTGATACCAATCGGATTGAGCAATGGATCGAAAATATGATATAAATTTAAATTGCATATATAAAACCAACCTAAGAATGGCACAATTTTCTCTATTACAATTTAAGGATTTCAGGCCTTCAGCCCTCTGTTAAACAAGAACATAACCTTACTAATTTCTGTACAGCATGTACTAATCTCATTTGTCAGCACACGGTAGCCCTTTTTTTTCTTTTGCGTTTTTATTTTTGGGATGATTGAATATAATCTTTCATCCAATCCTATCAGTATCTTTACAAACAGTTCATGTTATTACATCATCAACTTCAGGGGAAATACCTTTCAAAATTAAAGTTCTGATAATTTGATTGTTAACAAATGATCCAAAGCAGAAGCACCTCTTTAACCGGAACCCGTAGTTTGCTGTTGACATTTAGAAGTAGTTTAAATGCTTAATAGGAAAATGATACAGTGGGTTGCTTGCTTGGGCAAAGCAGTTTTTCAGTTAAATAATGATTGGACCAAATGGACTATTGATTGTTAGCTCAGGCAGGAATAAAGACTTGGATAAAAATCCACACAAGTTACCTGAAATTGATTCTAAGAATAGATGGTTTGAAATCAAGTCATGTTGCAAAGCATGAATAGGTGTATCTACTTGAAAACTAAAGGGCAAGCTAGCCAGGAAATTTGGCGTATCGATCGGTGGATACGGTATAACTTTCAAAGTCTGATAGATAATGCGAAAAGATTCATATGTTCTGTGATTGGGAAATTAAGCAGACAAAAACTGAAACGTCATTCAACCTTTGACCACATCCAGTGTAAAGTTGGAAAGATCTTTATCCAGGAGGAGGAGAAATTATACAGTTACACCAACTCTTTATTGGGTCGGCGTCCCTAATCACTTCGGAAAGTTATCAGGAATTTTTTAGGAGTCATCGTTGAGCCAACGAAAAATCTAAAGCAGCGCAAGTTGGATAAGCAGACCTAATACAAACAAAAAGGCACCAGAAATTGCCAAATTGGGAGTCAAATAGGTGCTGTGTTGTATTAATAATAACCCCTGTGGGGAAGGACACTGCAAAGTGGGCAAAGACGCATTCGTTTTTTCAGAGTCACTCACTTTGGATCAAACAAAAGACAAAAACCAAATGCAAGAATGACTTGAAATGAAATTTGACATATCTGTCTGTTTCTTGTCCTTTTAACATTTTTATTTTTCTGGTTGCTCAACTATGTTCTTGTTTTTGTCTTTTTTAACTACTGCGCCAACCTTGGATTTTCGAAGAGCCGCGGATGATTTTTGCGGGTAGAGTTATAATGGGAAATGAATGATGAAGCTAAAGTCATCGGCCACGTATGGCAGGGTGCTCATGTGGGGACCTAAGACAAATGCTTCAGCCTTTATGCAATTTGAGGGATAATTAAAGTTATCAGGTAATGGGATTGTGTTAGGAAAAGCTCTATAAACATTGTAGAAAACAAAAGCAAATATTCCTACAGGATTTGTCAACTTTCATACGCCATACCATTATTTCCTGAGCTGTGAAATCTTGGACGTTTGCCATGAATTTCCAACTATATATGAGAACAGGATTAGACCGTAAAACGGCACTTGCCATCGCCATCCATTCTAGCTAGCTACAACCGATCACTTTCACCGGATCCAGTACATTCAGCTTAGAAATGCCTAATTCAACCATCATGCAGGCTTCACTAGTCATCTTACTGATTTTATCAGCAAATGCAGTTGACATAGAAGCCAAGATTCATGCTGGGCGTAAGACAATGCAGAAAAGGATCGATAGCCAATCCATTATACATGCATTGGCAGGCTATGATTTGTCTGCAACGAAACAGGGCAGGAGGGTAATGACGGATACATCAAGAATTTCACCAGGAGGGCCAGATCCTCAACATAACTACCTAGCTCCCAATTGCTCTGAGGGATCAACGTCCACTAGCATTGCCCTAGAGATCAGCCCTTGAAGGGACAATGTGGTTGCGGTAATAGCTCTATTTGTCAGGTCCAATAATATCTAGTAAGAATCATGAAACTTCGATCATCGAGATGTGTTCACGCTTATCATAGAACATCTCTCATGTGAAGAATATATAGCTACTTGACAACTTATATATATGTAGTACTAAGTAGTTGTCAGTGCTTGGACTAAGTTTGAGTAACTCAAGAGTAGTTTATGTTAGCTTCTTGTCTAATATCAAATAGTAATTAAGTTTTACATATATTATATGGAGTCCTACATAGTTTAATTCGACAAATTAATTTCTTCTATATTGTGCGTGATTAGATATTAAATAACTAAGTTAAAGTGCAACTGTCACACTAAGTTTGCTTCTACAAATGAATGTCTTTTAAATTTTGTTGCAAAATTACAACAAAATGTACTAATATAACATTACAAAACATTAATTTGAAGCTAAAACCAATGAAATGTAATTAAACTGAAAGGGAAAAACTATCACCAAATACCCCTAAAATTTGAAATCTATTTCAATTTGGTCCCTTGCTATCTATCTTTATAATAAAAGGTTTGAAATCTCACAGGAATTTCCATCAATTAAATATTCTTAATAAGCCTTTATTAATTGAGGGAAAAAATATAACAAAACTCAAGTAGTGTATAATTCTGGAATGAATGTGTCATAGATAGGATGAAACCTAGTTTTCATGTGTCTGAATTATAATTAATGAAAAATATTGTCTGATTACCCCCAATGTAAACACTACCAAATTGAGCTGAATGAGAGAAAAATTATTGGCACTTGAACGAGTTCTTGATTGGAACTATCCTTCTGGGCAAGTGGTACCCAGTGACTTCCTCCCTTCTGGCTCATTCATGTTTGTCGATTGTCAAAGGCAGTTTCTTCCCTCTTCAACAAATTAAAATCGATCAAACATTCTTACTTTAAGCCAACAGGGACAAAGAGATAAAGGAAAAGAACTGAACACAAGGCAACGATGCATGAGTTGGCCTTTCTCATGTCTTGATGAGAGCACGACGCCCAAGCTAGAAACGTTTTGTCCCGCATCAAATCAAGTATTGTAAATGCCCAAAAATACGGCTGAAAATTCGACTCGCCTCTGTTTTTTTTTTTTTGGGGGTTTTCTCCCTCCTTTTGGTGTTAGATAATTAAGAAGTATATCCCAGGCTTAGTTTCGACTAGAAAGATTCAGATATCAATCTGTGAGCGAGAATAAGCACCAGATTAAAAGGGAATGGTATTAAAGTTTTGAGGGTGTGATCCTGACTTATCCTAATGAAAATGTTCTTAGTTATAATTAAGTTCCTCGTTTGACCGGTGTTGCACGATAGAAAAGTGCAATCATTCACACAATAACAGGCAGAGAGATCCTCCAAACCTGTTTCGGTCTTGGACTTGGATGACCAAAGATTTCTGTGTTCCTCGTTCTTGATTTGGAACTAAATTGTTTTAAAGCTTTCGAGTTCTGCCCTTGTTGTTTTGGTTTTAGCTTCCTCAGGAGGATAGTCTTAGTTTGATGGCTTTTGTGATACCAGCTGTCATACAGCCAGTGTAGAGTTTGCTGATTTTTGTGGGGCTACTGCCAAAGTCTATGTTAGCAGTTTGTCTTTCTTGTATAGCCCCTTTGTCAAGCTGGTTTTACTGTCAATGGGAGTCCCTGACGGTTACAGCTTGAGACTAACAATAGCATATTTGTTGAATGACCAATAAAATCCACTTTAAAAAAAAATCACACAATTACAGCCTGGGTAGCACGATACCTCTATTGTCTCCATTGATTACCACTCTTCCACCCTAACAATTTTGTTATCCTATTGTCAGCAATATCGATTTTCATGGCCTTAAGATCTATCAAGATTTCGGGTCCTCATCCATTTTCATGCAACCTGGAATGGGGAAAGTACTCTGTTTCTACCTGCATTGACCAATTTTATTCCTGAAAGGCAATAGATTTTTGGCAATTTTTTTTTTCATTTTAAATTTTGGAGCATTCAGATTCATTGCTGTTGCAAAGCAATGACAAAATAATAGAAATTGGTTATACTGTTCAAAAGCTGAAGCAGTTGCCACCTATAATTTGGCTATTCTTTTTATATAGCACACTTAAAGAAGATCCTGC